GTCACCTGTGGAGTTAAGTTGGCATTTTTCTTAATCTGCTCAGATTTGACTTGCAAGCAATTTAGTCAGGTCAGAGATATTTCAGTTAAGAATTGAATCACCCATGAAGAAAAGCCTGATCTTCCATTGATAACCCAAGTTCTTATCAAGCCAGTTGTTGTGGAGTTCATGTATGTCATTTAAATTTATTTTTAAGATTGTTTTAAGACACTCTAATATTTCTTTTTATGACTGCTTCTCAATAAGAAAGATCTCTACTAAATTCCCATCCCCATGGAGCTTGTTACTGGATGCTTGTTGTGATCTTTTGATCGATGTAAATTTTTAGGAGTTGTTGTATGTGAGGAAGAGGCAGTACCTATAGCCGCAATTTTGAGGTTAAAGCCAGTTCTCTTTATATATATTTGCCCATAGCAACAGAAAGAGCATCATGCAGAATTGAGTAATCTCCTTGATTACTTTCTTTCATCACAAGTTAGAAACAGAAAAGCTGTGAATTCTGTCATTGAGAAAAAAGGGAAGAACATGTGATGGAGTTGTTGGGATTCCATATATGGAGATTTTGATAATTCTCTGGCAAGATGGACAACTGGCATACAAATGCCAGTCTCTAGTGCAATAGTTACCCTTTCAAGGAATCCTGAACAAATGGTTTGCTACCATTGCTAAGAATTATTAAATTTTTCATGTTATCATTGAGCTATCCAAAAGTCTTGATACCAGTGCTAATAACAAATAAATAAAAGTAGAATAGTCCTGAAAATGTTGATATATCCCACATGGAAATTCCGTATATGACAGGGTGTATGATTCTATATGGCCATGTATGATCATATTTGCCATATCCCACCATATATGTATTCATATATTATCAATTGTATGGTATATAATATACTGTATATTACCTGTATTACAATATTAAAAGTTATGGGCTAATGGCATCATGTCTGACATGTGGTGAATGTGGTGAAACAGGCAAGTCTTATGGTTGTTTGTGAACACAGCGTGAGGTCAGTGGGCCAGAGGGGGTGGGGCAGCCGAGGGGGAGGAGTCCTCAAACCCCACCCAAGTGATATTGGGGGAGATAAATCATACCTCCAAGGGGGTACCAAGCTCCATCCCAGGGATGCCAGGGGGGAAGCAGGTGGCATTGCACTCCCTGCTGCCACTGCATGAGGTTTTTACATGAAGGCCATGACCTTCTGATGCCTCTGCAAGTAATATTTTATTTATCCATGACATTGTACATGAAAAATTAGCTATGTATAACCATTGAAGTAACTTCCCAAAGTATTGATTTCAAACCCCTACCCTCCCTAGATAGCAAAAGTGTATTGAGGATGAAAAAAGGGGGGGGGGGGGGGGGGGGGGCATGGGAACTCTAGGGGAGCAGTGCATACATTTTTCAGTTCCCTTTTTTCTTCCAAGTATTCAGTTGCATCCCTCTATTCCCCTCCCTCCCCCCTCCACTGGTTCCACTGGGGGGGGGTGGGGGGGGGGGGGGGGGGGGGGGGGGGGGGCATGGGAACTCTAGGGCAGAAGTGCATAAACTTTTCAGTTCCCTTTTTTCATCCATTTATTCATTTGCATCCCTCTATTCCCCTCCCTCCCCCCTCCACTGGTTCCATTTAATCAGAAACTGACTGAAATTTTAAGGAAGTTGACATGAGAAAGGAAAAGCAAATATATGGATTATGTACACTTTTAGGATGTGGGTATTTGTCAGACATTCTCACCATACGTAGACATGTTTAACTTCATATATGGACAAGATGTGACATGGCATACATGGTGCAATTGTTTGAGCCAATATATGAAAATATACGGGGGCCATATATTTTCATTCTTATATGATTTTATGTGACTTGTGTCAAACCCCATATATCTGATTGGAAAGAAAGTTCTCGGAATTTCATGAACAATTATTACAACCCAGTTTATTTAAAAGCAAAATCATCTCAATCATGAATGTAATCACCATTGGCCTCTATCACTTCACGCCAACGTTTATGCAAACTATGGATGCCATTCCAATAGAACTCTGGCGGCTGCGC